TGGGGCTCTCTTCGGAGGCCTCTTGGAAGGCTCTTGGGGCGTCTTGGAGGCCTCTTGGGCTGTCTTGGGGGCCTTTTGGGCCGTCTTGGGGTCATCTTCGGCGTCTTCGAGCGCTCTTTGGGCGTCTCGGGGGCCTCTTGGGCAGTCTTGGGGGCCTCTTGGGGCACTCTGAGCGCGCTCTGGGGAGCCTGAGAGGCCGCACCCAGAAGGAAAACCATCTCTGAGTAGACTTGGTCGGGCGGCGGTCGGGCGGCGGTCGGGCGTTGGTCGGGGTACTTTTCGCCGGGGGACCCCCAGGGGCCGCCCCGCGCGCGCGAACTAGAAATACTGTTAATACTGTTAACCAGTTACCGGAGATCTTAGCACGCCCTGGCCCGTTGGGCCGGCGAATTTTGCGGAACTGTTCTGACGAGGATGCAGACACTGTGTCCCTTGCTTTGCGAGTCTGAGAGGCTATTGCGAGGCTTACCTTCCCGATTGCGCAGCTGCGCGTCACATGCCTGTGCAGGCAGGCCATCGTGGTCGGACGGTTCTTCCAGCTCCCCTTTACACTCGGGCCGCTGTGATGTCGACTTCCTGTGTCACTGACGCTCCTCTGGGGTGCCTGAAGATACAGGCGCGTTGGGTAATTTGCGTCTGAGCGGAGAGTGGTATTGGTAGTGTCACGGACGTGCCGGTTATTGGGGGAGCATGGGGGAGGGATGACGGAAGGAACGGGGCGTGTCATGGGGGGAGAGAGCGGAGGGGAGGGGCGGTGTGTATGAGAGGAAAAGCAGGAGCAGGAGCTTGTGGAAGAGGCGGAGGGGGATGACGATGGATAGTGGAAGCGAGTGTTGGCTGCCGTTGCCTGATGCATCGCTGAGAGTTTCCGTCTTCCCTCGCTGGCATCGCCTTCGCGCCAGCTAGAACCCATGGCGCTTGCGTTGTCATCGTGCCAGTGGGGTATCCGGTGGTCTGCGAGACGAGCGCTCTCCCGATTTGTCCCCTCGGGCCATCGGCGTCATGTGGCCTCATAGGATGCCCATTCGCGAGAACATGTGTGGCCCCGTGTCCCTGTGCGGTGTTCTGTTATTGTCTGGGGACGTCGGGGTATGCATTGTCTCGCCTCGATGGTGCTTGCATTTATTTTGCGGAACTGTTCTGACAAGGATGCAGACACTGTGTCCTTTTCTTTGCGAGTCTGAGAGGCTATCGCAAGGCTTACCTTCCCGATTGCGCAGCTGCGCGTCACATGCCTGCACAGGCTGGCCATCGTGGTCGGACGGTTCTTCCAGCTCCCCTTCACACTCGGGCCGCTGTGATGTCGACTTCCTGTGTCACTGACGCTCCTGTTGGGCGCCTGAAGACACAGGTGCGTTGGGTAATTTGCGTCTGAGCGGAGAGTGGTATTGGTAGTGGCGCGGACGCGCCGATGGTTTGGGGCACATGGGGGAGGGATGACGGAAGAAACGGGGCGTGAGATGGAGGGAGAGGGGTGGGAGGGGAGGGGCGGTGTGTGAAACGAGAAGCAGGAGCAGGAGCTTTTAGAGGAGGCGGAGGGGGAGGACGATGGATAGTGGAAACGAGTGTTGGCTGCCGAGGCCTGATGTCTCGCTGAGAGTTTCCCTTTTCCCTCGCTGGCATCGCCTTCGCGCCAGCTAGAACCCATGGCGCTTGCGTTGTCATCGTGCCAGTGGGGTATCCGGTGGTCTGCGAGACGAGCGCTCTCCCGATTTATCCCCTCGGGCCATCGGCGTCGTGTGGCTTCACAGGATGCCCATTCGCGAGAACATGTGTGGCCCCGTGTCCCTGCGCGGTGTTCTGTTATTGTCGGGGGACGTCGTGGTAAGCATTGTCTCACCTCGATGGTGCTTGCACTTATTTTGCGGAACTGTTCTGACGAGGATGCAGACACTGTGTCCCTTTCTTTGCGAGTCTGAGAAGCTATTGCAAGGCTTACTTTCCCGATTGCGCAGTTGCGCGTCACATGCCTGTGCAGGCAGGCCATCGTGATCGGACGGTTCATCCAGCTCCCCTTCACACTCGGGCCGCTGTGATGTCGACTTCCTGTGTCACTGACGCTCCTCTGGGGTGCCTCAAGATACAGGTGCGTTGGGTAATTTGCGTCTGAGCGGAGAGTGGTATTGGTAGTGTCACGGACGCGCGGGTCATTGGGGGAGCATGGGGGAGAGATGACGGAAGGAACGGGGCGTGTCATGGAGGGAGATGGGAGGGGCGGTGTGTAAGAGGAAATGCAGGAGCAGGAACTTTTGGAGGAGGCGGAGGGGGAGGATGGATAGTGGAAGCGAGTGTTGGCTGCCGAGGCCTGATGGATCGCCGTCGCGCCAGCTAGAACCCATGGCGCTTGTGTTGTCATCGTGCCAGTGGGGTATCCGGTGGTTTGCGAGACGAGCGCTCTCCCGATTTATCCCCTCGGGCCATCGGCGTCGTGTGGCCTCACAGGATGCCCATTCGCGAGAACATGTGTGTCCCCCTGTCCTTGTGTGGTGTTGTGTCATTGTCGGGGGACGTCGGGGTAAGCATTGTCTGACCTCGATGATGCTTGCACTTATTTTGCGGAACTGTTCCGACAAGGATGCAGACACTGTGTCCCTGTCTTTGCGAGTCTGAGGGGCAACTGCAAGGCTTACCTTCCCGATTGCGCAGCTGCGCGTCACATGCCTGCGCAGGCAGGCCATCGTGGTCGGACGGTTCTTCCAGCTCCCCTTCACACTCGGGCCGCTGATGTCGACTTCCTGTGTCTCTGACGCTCCTCTGGGGTGCATGAAGATACAGGTGCGTTGGGTAATTTGCGTCTGAGCGGAGAATGATATTGATAGTGTCACGGACGTGCCAGTTATTGGGGGAGCATGGGGGAGGAATGACGCAAGGATCGGGGCGTGGGATGGAGGTAGAGGGAGGGGAGGGGCGCCGTGTGAGAGGAAAAGCAGGAGCAGGAACTTCTGGAGGAGGCGGAGGGGGAGGACGCTGGATAGAGGAGGCGGAGGGGGGAAGTCGAGCGTGGGATGCCGAGGTCCGGGACATCGCAGTGAGTTTCCGTCTTTCCCCGGCGGCATCGCCACCGCACCAGCTAGAACCCATGGCGCTTGCGTTGTCATCGTGCCAGTGGGGTATCCAGTGGTCTGCGGGACCAGCGCTCTCCCGATTTATCCCCTCGGGCCATCGGCGTCGTGTGGCTTCATAGGATGCCCATTTGCGAGAACATGTATGTCACCCTGTCCCTGTGTGGTGTTTTATGCTTGTCCATGGACGTCGGGACAAATATTGTTTGACCTCTATGACGCTTTCGTTTACTTTGCCAGACTGACCTGACAAGGATGCGGACACTGCGGGGCCATTGCAAGGCCCTCGTTCCCGATTGTGAAGACTTTACGGCCTGTGCCGCCGACCCAGAAGGACGACGATGACGACCACGACGACGACCACGACGACAACGACAACGACGAGCTGATGGCTCTGCCACAGGCTCGGGATATGGTGCGGGCGGTGCACGGAGGAGAAGGAGGAGGAGGAGGAGGAGGAGGAGGAGGAGGAGATGGGGGAGGAGGGGGAGGAGGGGGAGAAGGGCGAGGAGGAGGAGGAGGAGCATTTTGAGGAGGAGGAGGACGAATCATCATAATATTACTTAGTAGTAATACTAGGAACTATACTGACAAAGATAGTAAGACCACTAAGAAACTAATAATGATGCTGATGATGATGCTGCTGCTGATGATGATGAGGATGATGCTGCTGATGATGCTGATGATCATCATCTTACTAATAAGGAGAGCAGGAGGAGGAGGAGGAGGGGGAGGAGGAGGAGGAGGAGTTGGAGCAGAAGGAGGAGGCGGAGGAGGAGGAGGAGGATCACGAGGAGGAGGAGGATGAGGAGGAAACTGAGGAGGAGGAGGAGAAGAAGGAAGAAGAGAGAAGATTAGGAGGAGGAGGATGTTGATGAGGAGGAGGAGGAGGAGTCGGAGGAGGAGGAGGAGGAGGAGGACGAGGACCAGGAAGAGGAGGAGGAGGAGGAGGCGGAGGCGGAGGAGAAGGAGGGGGAGGAGGAGGAGGGGGAGGAGGAGGTTGCACCCACAAAATCCTGAATTCTTTCAAAACACCATTTCTGTTTCTGGTACGTCGATGATGGGAACCCGTAAAACTCGTGCACATTGTTTAAGCGAATGTGCGCGGCGCTTATGCGAGAGCCACATTTTGAAACGGAGCCGCCCTCAAATCGTGAAATTCTTGCACATCTGTTCACAAAGAGTGTGCGCCGCGCTCAGGCGAGAACCACATTGTGTAAACCACTCGCCCTCATTCCGTGAAACTCTTGTGATCTTTGAAAACGAATGTGCGCGGCGCTGAGGCGAGAGCCACATTTTGAAAACCAGTCGCCCTCAAACCGTGAAGCCCTTGCAAACTTTTGAAATTAATGTGCGCCGCGCTAAGGCGAGAGCCGCATTTTGGAAACCATCCGCCCTCAGTCCGTGAAACTTTTGCAATGAAAAAACGAACGTGTCCGTCGCCGAGGCGAGAGCCACATTTTGAAAACCACTCGCCCTCAATCCGTGCAGCTCTTGTACATTTTTTAAACGAATATGCGACGCGCTAAGGCGAGAGCCACATTTTGAAAACGACCCGCCCCCCATTTGCGAAACTGATGCCAATTCTTAAGATGCAGAGTCATACATGGTGAGGACGTCTCAGGCGAAACGCCCGGCCCGCCCTAACAACTGGCCTCCGGGTGCGACAGGGGGAAGTTATTTGTAAGGGAAAAGAACGGAGGAGGAGGAGGAGGAGGAGGAGGAGCAGGAGGAGGAGGATGAGGCGGAGGAGGAGGAGGAAGCGGAGGCGGAGGCGGAGGCGGAGGCGGAGGCGGAGGCGGAGGCGGAGGCGGAGGCGGAGGCGGAGGCGGAGGCGGAGGAGGAGGAGGAGCAGGAGGACCCAATTGGGCGGGCTCCCGAGACGTCTGTCGGACAGTTTTTCTCTCTAGCAGTGTCAGACGGCCGCCGCCTCACGAGGAGCGAGGCGAGCAGTTTGGCCGGGCCCTCGCAGGTGCGCGGGCGGGTTCTTTATTTGTTTCTCTTACCTTGCCGAGCAGATCTGCAATCGCCAGCGCGATGGTTTTCTGTCAGCGGTCGGGGCAATCAAACCCCTTGTCGAGGACGCCTACGGCAAACCAGCGCCGCCCCCCAGCCTTTTTCGGACACGCCAGTGTGGACAACTCTTGGACGAACAAAAATGCCAAACTGGATTATGTGCCCCTCCAGTCCCAGTCGCTGTCGAACGCCGAGGGTGAACATTCGGGGGATGGCGAGATAGACGAGGAGAGGGAGGATCACGAGGAGGAGGAGGAACCTGAGGAGGAGGAGACGGAGGAACAGTAGGAGGAGGATGAGGATGAGGAGGAGGAAGAGGAGGAGGAGGAGGAGGAGGAGGAGGAGGAGGAGGAGGTGGAGGAGGCGGAGGAGACGGAGGAGGCGGAGGAGGAGGAGGAGGAGGAGGAGGTAGAAGAGGAAGACGAGGAGGAGGAGGAAAAGGAAGAGGAAAAAGAGGAGGAGGAGGACGAGGAAGAGGAAGATGAAGAGGTGGAGGAGGAGGAGGAGGAGGTCGGGCCCGTCAGACTGCGAAACCATGTCAGAACGAACGATTGCCCAAGTGTGGCCCCCCCCCGCTAGCCTGGGGGAGTCTGGGCTAAGCAGCTCGAGGGTACGAATCAGTCGATCGCCAAGCTTGCCATTTTTTTTGTCCAACTCCTGCTCAAGGCTCAGACGAGTGGGGGAGGGATGCCTGTTATGCGTGGCGACGGCGGAGGCGGTGGTCATTCTACGTCGTTATCTGTTACCTTTCGTTTTCAAGGGCTTCACCGACCACGCGAGGCAGGGAATGAATATACCCCCCAAAATGGGGGTGCGATCGAAGACGAAGAGGGCGGGTGTCCACGGTTTGGGATATGCATATTGAATGACACGCGAGTAGATAAGAGCGAACAATCCTAGAAGTATTGTTTTTGCTGTTGTTGTGGTTGTTGTTGTTGTTAGTAAGGGCGGGGCGCCCCGACCCGTGTCCCACAACACCCCCCCCCCCCCCCACAACACTCACAACAACCGGGGGGGGGTCCGGACGGGCAACCGAAAGTTTCGGGCCCATTTCGGCGCACCCCTCACACGGTTCGTGGCCCCACAGGGGGCGGAGCCGAAGGCCTGGGGCCCATTTCGGCGCACCCCTCACACGGTTCGTGGCCTTACAGGGGGCGCAGCCGAAGGTCTCGGGTCAATTTCGGCGCACCCCTCACACGGTTCGTGGCCCCACAGGGGGCGCAGCCGAAGGTTTTCGCGGCCCCACAGGGGGCGCAGCCGAAAGCTTCGGGCCAATTTCGGCGCACCCCTCACACGGTTCGTGGCCCCACAGGGGGCGCAACCGAAGGCTTTCGTTGCCCCACAGGGGGGGCAACCGAAGGCCTCGGGCTTATTTCGGCGCACCCTTCACACGGTTCGTGGCCTTACACGGAGCGCAACCGAAGGTCTCGGGTCCATTTCGGCGCGCCCCTCACACGGTTCGTGGCCCCACAAGGGGCGCAGCCGAAGCTTTTCGCAGCCCCACAGGGGGCGCAGCCGAAAGCTTCGGGCCAAATTCGGCGCACCCCTCACACGGTTCGTGGCCCCACAGGGGGCGCAGCCGAAGGTTTTCGCGGCCCCACAGGGGGCGCAACCGAAGGCTTTCGCGGTCCATTTCGGCGCACCCCTCACTCGGTTCGTGGCCCCACAAGCCCGCAACCGAAGGTCTCGGGTCCATTTCGGCGCACCCCTCACACGGTTCGTGGCCCCACAGGGGGCGCAGCCGAAGGCTTTCGCTGCCCCACAGGGGGCGCAACCGAAAGCTTCGGGCCCATTTCGGTGCACCCCTCACACGGTTCGTGGCTCCACAGGGGGCGCAACCGAAGGCCTCGGGCCCATTTCGGCGCACCCTTCACACGGTTCGTGGCCTTGCAGGGGGCGCAACCGAAGGTCTCGGGTCCATTTCGGCGCGCCCCTCACACGGTTCGTGGCCTTACAGGGGGCGCAACCGAAGACTTCGGACCCATTTCGGCGCACCCCTCACACGGTTCGGCGCCCCACAAAGGGCGCAACCGAAGGCTTCGGGTCGATTATTGCGCGCCCCTCAAACGGCTCGTGGCCGCACAAGGGGCGGAACCGAAGGCCTTTTTTTTTTTCGTTTCGGGTTTTCGGTTTTTTTCTTTTTTTCGGTTTTCTTTTTTTTTTTATCATTCGCGGTTTTTTTTTTTTTTTTTCTTTTTTTTTTTTTTTTCGGCGGCCATTCGGCGCACCCCTCAAACGGTTCGTGGCCGCACAAGGGGCGGAACCGAAGGCCTCGGGCCCCACAGGGGGCGCAACCGAAACCCTCGGGTCCATTTCGGCGCACCCCTCACACGGTTCGTGGCCGCACAGCAAGCGCAACCGAAGGCATCGGGTCCTTTTCGGCGCACCCCTTGCACGGTTCGTGGCCCGACAAGGGGGCGCAGCCGAAGACTTCGGGCCCATTTCGGCGCCCCTCACACGGTTCGTGGCCGCTTACAGGGCGCAACCGAAGGCTTTCGCGGCCCCACAAGGGGCGCAGCCGAAAGTCTCGAGTTCATTTCGATGCACTCCTCACACATCGTGGCCCCACAGGGGGCGCAACCGAAGGGTTCGGGTCCATTTCGGCGCACCCCTCACACGGTTCGTGGCCCCACACGGGGCGCAACCGAAGGCTTTCGCGGCCCCACAGGGGGTGCAACCGAAGGCCTCGGGTCCATTTCGGCGCACCCCTCACACGGTTCGTGGCCCCACAGGGGGCGCAACCGAAGGCTTCGGGCCCATTCCGGCGCACCCCTCACACGGTTCGTGGCCCCACAGGGGGCGCAGCCGAAGGTTTTCGCGGCCCCACAGGGGGCGCAACCGAAGGCTTTCGCGGTCCATTTCGGCGCACCCCTCACACGGTTCGTGGCCACACAGGGGGCGCAACCACATGCTTCGGGCCTATTTCGGGGCACCCCTCACACGGTTCGTGGCCCCACAGGGGGCGCAACCGAAGGCTTTCGCGGCCCCACAGGGGGCGCAGCCGAAGGCCTCGCGTCCATTGCGGCGCACCCCTCACACGGTTCGTGGCCCCACACGGGGCGCCACCGAAGGCTTTCGTTGCCCCACAGGGGGGGCAACCGAAGGCCTCGGGCCCATTTCGGCGCACCCCTCACACGGTTCGTGGCCTTACACGGAGCGCAACCGAAGGTCTCGGGTCCATTTCGGCGCACCCCTCACACGGTTCGTGGCCCCACAGGGGGCGCAGCCGAAGGTTTTCGCGGCCCCACAGGGGGCGCAGCCGAAAGCTTCGGGCCAATTTCGGCGCACCCCTCACACGGTTCGTGGCCCCACAGGGGGCGCAGCCGAAGGTTTTCGCGGCCCCACAGTGGGCGCAACCGAAGGCTTCGGGTCCATTTCGGCGCGCCCCTCACACGGTTCGTGGCCACACAGGGGGCGCAACCACATGCTTCGGGCCTATTTCGGGGCACCCCTCACACGGTTCGTGGCCCCACAGGGGGCGCAGCCGAATGCTTTCGCGGCCCCACAGGGAGCGCAACCGAAGGTCTCGGGTCCATTTCGGCGCACCCCTCACACGGTTCGTGTCCCCACAGTGGGCGCAACCGAAGGCTTCGGGTCCATTTCGGCGCACCCCTCACACGGTTCGTCGCCCCACACGGGGCGCAACCGAAGGCTTTCGCGCCCCCACATGGGGCGCAGCCGACGGCCTCGGGTCCATTGCGGCGCACCCCTCACACGGTTCGTGGCCCCACAGGGCGCG